ATTGTGTATACCAGCAAGCTCGAGAGTGGAACGCGAGTGCTTGCAACAGACTCAAAAGCTTTGCCGTCTCTAGTGCTCTCGTCGAATACATTGCTAGAAACCTCTCTTTGTAGCTTCCTTGAGACATTGCGGCTGATGGAAGATTCAGAAGAATCGAATCTGATGGTCTTCTTTACACCATCGTCGTCCTCGTTGCTGTCTCCGTCGACGTAGAGCTTTTTCTCCAGTACAGACGTGGGCGAGATAGACGAGGGCGGAGATGGCTCCTTGGGAGACCTCTCCTGACATGCAGAAGAAGATCCAGTGCCGTCTTCTTCCCCGTCGACGGGGCTGCTGCCGCTCCCGAATCTAATTTTCTCCGACGCTTTGCTCTTGGCGAAGAAACACCACCATCTTCTTCCACCTGCATGGGCTTTTCTTCTTTGTTTGGAGGAGGAGAACAGCTTGATGAGCTTACGGGGGGACTTACAGAAGGCCACGGCTAAGGTCAGAGGGGAAGCACGGGAGGTCGAGCAGTGGATGCGCTCTTCGCTTGCCGCAGTGGCGGCGCAGATGAAGTACGGGGCGGACAGCCTGAGAGGGACTTGAACGTCTCCCATGATGCCGAAGGAAAAAGAGTCGAGAGGTGGGGATGAACCAGAAGAGAGCTTTAAGGAGGGAAGTCTCTCTTGTGGTTGGCTAAGGGTCGGAGGCTGTTCCGAGTGTGATGGAACAAACACCTCAAAGGCCGGAGATTTAGTTGCCGTTGATGATTGTATCGTTATATTCACCAATGATATTATTGCATTTATCCTTCATATTTAATGGAAGCATACAGCCAACAGTCATAGTGATTGGACTGCATGAATGTATTGAATTCATGGCAAATGCAGGCAAAACCCCTACAAAAATGTCACAGAGAGACTTGGCTGCATTACTGCAATGCTTACAACTGGGCACGTAGTTGGAATGCCATCTACTTAAAACAAGCGGCTTCCGCTGCTTCGATCGAGGCACTACGTCAGTGGATCCTGCCGCTCTCAGTCATCGGCAGGAGGCCGGGAATGAACGGCACGCCGGTCTTCGGCAGCCACGCGTTGCCCTGGATGAAATGCTCCACGGTGAACTTCTGCGCGTGGGCGTAGTCGATGGACTTCACTCCCTTCCAATTCACCCTCTGGCTCATGTCGGCGCCGGGGCCGCGGTTGTCGAGCTCGGTGTAGAAGCAGGAGTTGAGGCCGAAGTCGCCGGACCAGGGAAGCCACCCCTTGGGGTCGATCAGGTCGTCCAGCTGCGACTGCAGCACGAAGGTCCTCGAGAACTCCTTCCATGGCCGGCCAAGGAAGGTGGGCAGCTTCTTCCGGGCGGGGAAGTAGGCGGGGTCGGCGCTGATGGTGCAGTTGTGGAGGATGATGGCGCTGGCCTGGCGCCGGTCCTTGCGCCCCTGTGCCGTCACGATGTTCTGCTGGTTGTCGAGTGGCTTCCTTGCCTGGATGAGGCAGTTCTGGAACACCGTGGGGGAGTCGCCGAAGATGAAGTCGATGGTGCCGGAGATGGTGCACTCGCGGTAGAACTGCCGCTTGGTGTGCACGTACAGCGTGTCCTGGTACCCGTCCATCCGGACGTTGTAGAAGACCGATTTGTCCGATTGCACCCGAAGCGCCACCGCCTGGTGCTTCGCCGCCCCGGCCGAGTTCTCGATCCAGAGGTCCTTTCCGATGAAGCCGTCGCCGACGATAGCTGCATCAATCGTCGTGCATGCGATTAGTGGCCTAAAATGAACGCAGACGTGGAGCTGGTGGACTCACCGACTGTGGCGGTCTTGAAGGTCGCTGTGCCGTCGATGTAGTTGAGCTTGCCGGTGATCTTAGTCTTGGATGTCCCATCGCCGATCATCATCACGTTGGTGAGGCTCCGATTGACCTGCACTTGTTCCTCGTACACTCCTTCCTTGATGTAGATGACGAAGGTGTAGTTGCTTTTAGTGGGGACACGGAGGACGGCTTCGCCAATGGTCTTGACGTCGCCGGAGCCGTCCTTAGCTACCGTGATGTTCGGTTTCAGCTCGGCGGGGCTCTGCTGGAGGAGCCGCCGGTTGCCGGGGGAGATCCACGAGGGGTACTCCTCGGCGAGGAGCTTCCGGTTGAACCCGAGGTTGAGCGAGTCGAGCGCACTGTCGAAATTGGTGACGATGGCCAAGATGTTGCTCGTCAGCTCGGCAGAGCTGTTGAGCGCCTTCCGCATGGACTCCGCGGCGTCAGTGGTCGTGTTCTCGAACCCATCGAGGCACGTCTCCTGGTACGTGATGCTAGCGCTGATCCACACCTTGAGGTCGTCCAGGAACTTGTCGAGCTTGGTGAGGGAGAAACCATCGAGCCGGTCGATCGAGCTCTTGAGGTCATAGATGGCGTAGTCGAGGAGCTCACGGCAGTTCTCGAGGGCGTCGGAAGTGCGGGAGTCCTTGGCGGCCTCCGACAGCACCGTGGAATGGTTGAAGGCCTCCTTCATGTGGTCGATGGTGACCTGGAAGGCCAAGTTGACGAGCTCCTTGGGGTCGGTGGTGTTGCCTGCCACCGCCGAGAGGCTGCTCTCGCAAGTCGCCTGGTAGTCGGTGGGGCGGCAGAAGTCTTTGATGTTCTTATTCGAGGTGGAGAGTTCAGTTTGCGCCGGCCGGGACTGGCGGTTCGATACGGTGACGGCGACGGTGGCCACGACGGCCACGAGGACGATGGCCGAGACGCTGAGAACGGCCACCTTATTGTTCGCCATGGTTGTGAGCAGCTCCAAGGTTTGCCTCTATTCCCTAAATGATGGTGTTGCAATCTCCTACCGAGACAAGAAAAGCCAAGGCAAGAGACTGATGGGGTTATCCTAAAGCAGAGAGAGACAGAGAGGCAGAGAGAGGATGACCCCGAGGTCAGATGATGAAGAGTAACTGGATCATGGCCTTCATATAAAGGAGGAGGGAGGAGAAGGACGAGAGAGAGAGCCGAGGAAGAAGGAGAACCATGAAGAGGAAATAGAGTCCGTTAGGGAAACGAGACCATCGGTGACCAATAGACTTGCATCAAGACATCGGACTACGTTAGCGGTGCAAACAGCACAGGAAAGTGAACTAAATAGTGTTATTAATGGATTTATTGCTTGGTCAAGATTTGGTCAACATAGTGGGAAATTATTAATCCAAATAGTTCAATATTTTATTTTGCGGATATTTAAATTTTTAAATTAAGATTAATGATATAAAAGCTTATTATTATCATCATCATTGTCCCAAGGGATCAAAAACCTTTAAATCAAAGTGGAACTCAGAGAATAATAAATAAAAAATATGTCATAAAGTATTCTTAATTTGAAAATAATATATGATACACTAGAAACAACTTATAAACATCAAAAGTGTCTTCAAAACTTTAAGATTCATGATAAATTTATCAGGATTCACTTATAATATTTCTTACTTAAATCTCTAAGTTTTATCTTAATTTTTTAAAAAAATATAATTATATATATTTTTAAAATAATTTGAATCTAATTATGAGTCCTAAAATATTTATTAACTCTAACAATAATAATAAAAAATCTTAATCATATAAGAAATTAGAATTATGTATAATTTCTTCTAGTAGCTTGAATTGAGTTATGACTTATAAAATATTTAGATTTTGTAAAAGTTATCATCAGGATTAATTATATATTACCCCGTAATTAGTCTCCTTTAGTATTTCAGTTCATACATTTTCAAAAGTTAGATTGAGATCCCTATACTCACATAAATAAAATATTAAAATATGTATACAGGATTAAAAAGGTAATTTTATATGATTAAAAATTAAAAAAAATAGGGATTTATTTGAACAATTGAGTTAATTGAACAATTGAGACCTCAATATAATGTTAAAAAATATAAAAATTAGAATAATAAAGATAACTAATTACAGGGATGATATATAATTAGATTTCATTATTATTATTATTATTAGCGAAGTATACATCCGATTTGGCTTAATAATTAAACACAAGCTTATACTATACATTCATATAACTCAAAAGCATTTATGGTTAGAAAGAAATGAGCTACAGATATGGACAATAATTATGAGCAAAAAGATAGAATTATAGGACATTTCAGAGTCAAAATTTTATACAGGAATATATACATATTCATTCATATTAATAATACTTGGAGCAGAATTGATATCTCTTGACTATCATATGAGTGCTACTTGAAAACAATAAACAATAACAGGTAATATTTTCAGAGAAAATAAATATCTTAATGAAAAAAATAAAGATCTTCGTATAATAAAAAGAAAAAAAAGAAATCATTAATGGGATCAAACCATGGAAATAATGAGTCAGCACGGGTCCCAGAAGCCGATCCAATCGGGAGACGCCTCCGCACGAATCACGAGGCGATCTTATCTCCCCTGCCGCGGGCCTGTCGGCGGGCCCCGCTCGAGCCAGCTAGGGAGCTGACGCATGCCACGTCAGTATATATGGTAAAAACGAAATAACAATGCAAGGGATAATTCACGGTCGAAACAGAATAACCCGTCGAGGATTCGAGTAGATTTCTCCGCTTCGTTCTCAAGGTTGAATCGTAACAGTGCAAAATCAATTGACTCATTTACCCCTACCATTCCTAATTTTTCCCAACAGCGGTTAGTTGGAAGGGCAGCGGGAGTCGTCGGGACGGCGGGACACCGCACACCGGCCGAACTACCCGTCAGGGATAGGGGCATCGGACGGGCAGAAAGCGTCGGTGGGTCAAACGGACGGTCCTCGTCTCTCGCTTTTAGTCACCGAAAAGTTTCTCCTAATGCGGTGATTAAAGAAAGGCCGCAATAATTACAACGGTAATTATTAATAATAAGAACATGGCGATTGGGTTAATTAAGGGCCCCATCGCTTAGTCTTTAAATTACAATTTGGGGGAAGACATTAACGCTGAGGAGGCTAAAGA